TTGTTTTAATTATATAGTATCGTAGTCTAATTTCGAGAAGACCGCCCTCCCCTTTTCCGTTAGTTATCCTGGGCGTACTGGTTGGGAATTTGTTGATGGTTATTTGTGTTTTCCCAATAGGTTTGGTTTGTCCGGTGTAATCACGTGACTGATGCCCGTTTTTCTTTTGACAGCAAGGTCTAAAGCGTGTTTTCCAGCTTTGCACAATGTTAGCAGGACGTGTAGCCTCACAAACTCTGTATTGTCCTGGTTCACTTAGCAATGGTTCACTTAGACGCTTATCAAAGAATCACTGCAAGATTAAACAGGAATGCAACACGGACTCGGCACTCTTCAGCCTTTTTTTTTAATAAAACAAGCGATTAAATGGATAACCACCCACATTTTAAAAAAGCGATAGCTTTGGAAAACAGTAATTTCGACTTTGCAGATATTTTCCTTTTAACTAACAGGAATACTTTTCTTCCCTCATAAGAGCACGCAGAAGACCAGAGAAAAGGCTTTCAAGCGAATTATGCCCGTTAGTCTTCAATGAATAAGCGGCCTTTTTCTGAGCACAATATGTTGAGTGAAGCCTGTTGACTGTTTAATAAATACATCGGCCCTGCATCAACACAACGGAGGTAGCACGCTGGTCAATTATTATAAATTATAGCAAGGGACGTTGACCAAGTACTGCGACAGCTTTCCTAAAGCACACTTTAGTAGATATTGTTTTCTCTGATCCAGTACTCAACGTTGGTATTTCTCCATCGTCTGTACTCCATTTCCTTTCTGTACGCCATGCGAATAGAAGGGAGTGCGAGCTTTAGATGCAAACCTTGGGGCCAGAGTCAGAATCAGACTAAGAACATTTTTTTGCTACTATTTCCATAGCACTCGCACCATTCAAGTTCTAGAGCCTTAAAATGTTCCAATTACAGCCAGAAAGAAAAGGGACACATTATACGCAACAGTTATTTCTCCTTTTGACCGAGGAACAAAAACAAAAACATAATCCAAAGATACCGTTCGGAATAAATACAATTCACAATTCGCCAAATCCAGTTCACCCACTGAAAACACGGTTAAAACTGGCAAGTTGGAAATGGAAACAATAATAGGGGAATAGCGCTGCCTGGAGTGTGCTCAATGGATAACATGAATTCAATACATCTGATCATTTGTGGGTCAGGACCAGTAAATGACACTGAAAGCTGTTCAATTGGTTAAAATAAAACTGATGTTAGGCAGCGAAGGAAATCTAAACCCTGATGTGGTATACACAACTTCAATCCCCAACTACTTGACTAATTGACGATGACCTCTACTATAACTTAGTAAACTAATGGTTTGTCAAAATAACCATGGATGAATAATAGTGCAGCTTTATCAATGTCACTACACCCCGAGAATACTTTTCTTTAAAAAAAAACACAGGAATGTAAAACATACAACCTTTCTGATATTCCCTCAGAAGGTTAGAACTGTTCTTCGTTTATCTCTATATTCTCAGTGCACTGATAATACAAAAGGATTTTCTGTTCGCTGCAAAAAAACTAACAAGAGCCAGTGAAAAGTATGGATCTCTCGATGGCTACTAAAAATTAGAATAAGCTCAGTTTTGAAACCTTTCATGGTCAAAGTGCCTACAATAGTTACTGTGATAACAAACATAATCCAAAGATACCGTTCGGAATA